TGATGAGTGGTGTATTGATGAGTGGTGTAATGATGAGTGGTGTATGAACAGTTCTTGAATGTCCGTAACACGGAAGTTTCGTACAATAAAATTCCTTTGACTAGGGGCTTTGATTTGCAACACCTTGGTTTTCATGTCGGTCCAAAAGGTGTCTCAATGTTCATGGAAATGGGTAGCTCAGGCCAAGATTTGCACTGTCAATTCCTTTCTTCATCTGCAAGGAGCGGCTTTACTAAGTTTACGTGTCTAGTTTTTTAATAGATGTTATTTCCCCTAAAAATCTAAAAACCAAATCATCAGTGCGAGCGCTTCTTCAAGGAAACATGAGCTATCCTGTATCCTACCTAAAAGCTAACTTAGCCTAGTAGTTTGCTCCCTTACTTTAGTATGTAGGCGCCTGTGCTGTTTTTGCTTTGCTTTTGCTTAGTAGTGCTTGTCCGACAGAGGTCCGTTTCCGCTTTGAGCTGCTGGGCAAAGACTCCAGTGCAGCGCCTGACGTGCTGGCAGTAGGTCAGAAGGCAGGGGCCTGATGTGAAAAGAAAGAAGGTGATTGGGGCCCTTGAACAAGGGGCCCTTTAAAGGGCCCAAACACCATCTCTTTTTCCTCTTTGAGACTTCTTTTTGTAAAACCCTTAAAGTGTTTTGGGGGGAAAGTGATGTGTTCCAATTCCTGCTGTCGGCCCACAACCACCACAAACTAGGTGATGTGTTCACGGGCCAAGCTAGTTCACTACTCCAAACCTAATTCCCAGAGGGGACGCGACCGAAAAGAATGCAGCTCAAAGCCGTTGTTTTGCAAGCGTTTCCAACAAAATCTAGGAACCAAATGACTAGTGCGAGCGCTTCTTCCCCCCGCCCTCAGGCGGGGGAGCTTCCTTGAAGAAGCGTGAGCTATCCTGGGGGCTAGCTAGTAGCTACTTAGCTTGCCCGTACTTTATTGAGTAGCATTGAGTAGCTGCCTAGTTAGCTAAGTAAGAGCGGGCCAAAAATGAAAATAGATACTAAATGCCGGGCCGGTACCCAGGGCACCTTGTTGGGCTTGCAGCTCTTGGCCACTCACTTCGATGGGAAACTGCCCCTCGCACGCTTGGAGAAGGCACACGGTCAGGATGGATTTTGCACCGTTTCTTGTGCTTCTCGGTTCTCTGGTCGAAGACAGCCTTGTGAGGATCTTGGGATGTTTGGATGGAAGTTGCTTTATGTTTGAACTCAGCAATCTGCCACTTACCGTTGAATCTATGCACCTGGTTGAAGCAGAACCATCACTTCCCCTCAAAGCCCCTCTTGCTGGGAACCCAACACAGCATCGTCAGGACGAATCAAAACACCCTTGCCAGAACCAACAACAGTAACAACCCTAAAAAGGGGCTTGTGTTCCTGTCCGGCCTGCTCGCATGGTTTGAGTAAGTCTTGCGTCAACCCCCAATGAACTTGTACAACCTGCTTGAGCCGATGACATTTGTCAGGTTGAAGAAGAAGTGGCTTGGCCCTCAGCTGCAGTTTGTCGCGCTTTGGTGAACATGATCAATGCTCTTGGAGATTCATTGGCAAGCCTGGAGTGCACTAGCTGCACTAACTGCCCACCTATTTTAGGTGATGTAGTGATGCATCTTGGTGTTTTTAATAAACCAAACAGCAAGGACGCTAGGTGGAGGCCATCGCTACTAGGTTGGAGGCCATCACAAGTAGGTTGGAGGCCATCGCTACTAGGAGCAAGAAGCTACTATATATGTTTACAAAGAAAAAAATGAAGGTCGCACTGCGCACACTGCACAGAGAACAATGATTCGTCCGTGCTGCACATCCACCAAGGTCCTGGCACATGCTGGGCCAGGCTTCAAAGTGAAAGGCCTCTCGATCAGATCAAGATGCAAGGGCTGCTAGTGGGATAGGGAGCTTCTCCACTTGCAATGCCAAGGAAAATGAACCTCAAACTGTATGGCTTCCTTCAGATGACACGGAACGGGAACTGAAGAAAACTCTCACAGTGTCCCTAATGTCATTGTCCATTTGGCCTTGCAGGGTACCACAACTATCGTTTGAACTTTCTGGAGAAGGAGCGCTGGCTGGATGTTTCTGTGCAGAAGAGCTGGCCCAGCAGGGCCGCCGAGAGGGTGGGGGATTGGCGACTCTGTTACTACCAGTAAGGCACTTGTTCCTAGTAGCGTGGCACTTGTTTCTACTAGCTTCTTGTTACTACTAGTAAGGCACTTGTTACTAGAAGCGATGCACTTGTTCCTAGTAGCTTCTGAGTAAATGTATCAATGGATCCCCGCCTGGAAGTTTTGCCGTGTGGATTCTTACCCAGTTTGGTCACCCATGACGGCACTTTTTTGGACGTCACAGGTGGAAACTTTGGGCTGTCAAAAACTCTCAGAATCAATATCTCTTTACATTGTTGCATTTTTAGCACGTGCAATCCTTTGAACTACTTATAGTGGCCGCTTGAGTAATTGATTTGCAACTTTGTCCCAACACTAGGAACAAGAGGACGCTACTAGGGGCTTCTGGCCTTACTACTAGGGACAAGGAAGGACGCTACTAGGAACAAAACCGAGGCGCTGCAGAGGACAAGCTCCGAGTGGCCAACAACACCACGGTGATGCCCTTGGCGAAGGCCGGGTGTTTGTCCCCTGACCAGGCGTAAGAAGAGATTTGTTCAAAACAACCTTGGTGAAGGTTTAAAACAATCCCATCAGGAGAGATAGTAACTACACTTGGACTAGTGAGCTGGAGTGATTCTGCTAGGAAGAACCAATATCCAGCGTTTCTTGGATAGAAGCTCAACATGAATGTGAGCTTACCCAGATGATTGGGAATATCAGCTCACCTGACTTGGGTGAACTCTTTCGATCCACAAAGAGGACAAAAGGCGTCTGAAGGTCGCAATGGCCAGATAGCTCATTTTGTTTGGTTCGCCCAAAAATGATCTTTCCGCGCCAGTGTTGAGGCTGTAGCGGCACGCCAAAAAGCTCTCCCCGAGGGTGGAGCTTTGCTGCTGGAGACCACACTGTTAGGCCGCGGCGATGGCTCGTTGGCCGCTATCTTGCAATTGTGTAGACCTCTCGTTGGAGACAACAATTCTTCTTTCCCGTTTTCGGAGAAAGAGATGTGTTTTTCAGAGCGCCAATTGTGGGAGTTTGAGGAGATCGTTTGCAATTGTTGTGGTGCACACCAATGTGTTCAGAAAGCTTTGAAGACCAGGTTCGAAATGATGGGGTGGTCAGGGTGGGAGCTGAAATAGGTGAACGCATCGGTGAAGTCACACCAGACGCAGTGTTTCCGCCTTGGTGGTTGAAATCAGCGTGCTTAAGAAAAGGAAGGAAGCAAGCAAGGAAAGAGATAGATCTAAAGGTCTAAAGGAAAGGGAAATGGACAAAGAATGTGAATGTGACACAAACCCAGAAGAAACCGTTCTTTTCTGTCCTCCGTCGCTGTTCTGCTCGCAGGCACCCAGGATCAAAAACGACTCCGAGTCTCGCATTTGGCGCAAGCAGTGGCGAAGCTCGGCCGCGAAGAGCAAGAAGACGAACCGAAAGAACTCGTTACTAGTAGCGTCTGCTTGCTCCTAGTAGTAAGGCCAGGAGCTACTAGTAGCGCCCTTGCCCCTAGTAGCGATGCCCTTTGTTACTAGTAGCTTCTTGCTACTATTAAGGCACCTTGTTACTACTAGTGATGCACTTGTTACTAGTAGCAAAGAAAGGCAGTTCTGAAGATCTGGGAACGAGGATGGAGGCTTAAAGATTGGAGGAATCGTCGTTCTGTTGAAAAGCAAACCATATGAATTCCATGGTAGGTCAACATTCCCAGGGTGCAACTTTACATGTCATGTTTGAGGAGGTATGAAGCTCCATTGTCCATAATTCCGGAGAATGGAGATGTGGCTATTAATGTATGAACACCAGCTAAGGTCAGTTTTGCAAGTACCCTCGCCAGTATCTTTTAACACGTGGGTAACGTTCGAACGGCATCCATGTGGGTGATGGCCTGCTCGTGAATAGGAACGAAGAGTCTGGCTTTGTTTGTTCACCAAGAAAAGCAGAAGGAAGAAGTCGAAAGGTTCAAAAGGCCAAACAAGAAGGCTGAAGGTCTAAAAGAATGTTGCGCTCTGCGATAGCTGAATGATCTCCCAGTGGCCACTTAAAGTTCTAAACAAGCAGAATAGACCAACAAAATCAAGGAGAAAAGGGAAGCGAAACAAACTCCGTGCCTTTCTGGTCACCGTTGGGGAACTCGCTGCACAGGCGTGCTTATGCATGGCAGGCTTGGTTGACCGTCGTTTCTGTACATGCGCTTTGCATGAAGAGATAGGTTGGAGGCCATCACTCTTAGGTTGGAGGTCATCGCTATGAAGAGATTCTCTTTTTGTGAGGTTTGCACCCAAACTCCCCCTTTTCAAGAACCTGACACTTCCTGGTGTCTACTTCTAAGGCGTCTAAAAGAAAGAGATGAAGCATGATGATACGAAGCAAAGGTCAAGAACAAGAAGTTCCTTTGGCAAAAAAGCCCTGTCATTAGGCTTACCAAAGGAACTCTTAAAGATCATCTCTTGATCTTAGTACGCTCTGTAGTACTCCGAGCCAATGTTAAGTTTCCCAAAAATCTAGGAACCAAATCATTAGTGTGAGCAGGAGCTTCCACGTTTGCTAGTAGCTTACTTCCTTACTTAATGAAGTAGGCGCCTACTCAATTAAGGAGGCATGGCCAAGGGCTTTTTGTCTTTTGTTTTTTTCCTAGTAGCTCCTGGCATCACTACTAGGAGCAAGGACGCTACTAGTAGCGTTCTTTGCTCCTAGTATATAGTAATGCCAGGAGCCCCTAGTAGCGTCCTTGCTCCTAGTAGCGATGCCCTTTGCTACTAGTAGCATCCTTGCTCCTAGTAGTAATGCCCTTGTTACTTCTTTTTCCCCTTTTGTTTGGTCGGAGATCTCTTCCCAAAGTGTGCAGGTGCGACCGGTGGATCCGTCCTTGCCCGTGCGGCTTTTCCATTGCACCGGGTGGTTGCGCCGCCAGGGGCCGCTTGGACCTGTACGGCCCAGGGGCGGAAAGGGGCGCTTCTTTGCAACGCCTTTGTGTCCAGAAAAGGCTAGACAGTTCATGTTGCTATTGATGGCCTGGTGCGTATTCCAACATGTTGAATTTGTTGGTCAAAAAGAGGTTCAGGACTCATCATTTGGAAGATCTGTGTTCGAAGACTTTCCTTGCTTCAGGCCTGATGCGCCTCTATTGCAGCTGGTCATTCTGCCTGAAGGGAGGCCGTGCAACGAGTAACAAAAGCGCGGCCCTGCGGGGCTTCTTCCATGGCTTGGGGGGGTGACTCTCACCTTGGCAAACCTTTTTCACCCGAAGGAGCACATGGCTTTATGATGTATTGTTGTGGAAGTGATGCAATTTCTTTTTTGTATGTTTGAAGCCCGTGGCCATGCCTCCTTAAATAAGCTGGCGCCTACTTAATTAAGTAAGGAAGCAAGCTACTAGCAAACTTCGAAGTTCCTAGCGAACGGAGGCAGGATAGCTCACCTTCTTCAGCCGCCCTAAAGGGGTGGGGGGGAGCTTCCTTGCAGAAGCGTTCGCACTAATAATTTGGTTCCGAATAGTGATGACGACCAACCTAATAGCGATGGCCCTTCCAACTAATGATTTGGTGCCTAGATTTTTTTTGAAAACTGAACCGACTCCCGACCCACAGCCGGAATCTTAGACTGAAAGTCCAAGGCCGCCAGATGACGTCGATCACGCGGGTGTTTTCATCGGTTCCACGTCCGTTTTTGCGGACATCCTTTTGCTTTTGCACGTTCCGATGACCATAGTTTTGACCTTTGCAGGGGCTGCTTGAGCATTCTGAGAGCAGTGCCAGAGTTCAACTAGGAGGGGTGCAAGGCGCTCGAAAGGTAGCCGATATGTTTGTCGCAGAAGGTGCCTTCACTGTTACAGTTCCGACTGCTCAAGCCGTTGCGGATTGGCAGCGAAGTTTCAGGAACAGAGCAGACTCAGATACAGCCCAGCCGAAATACAAAAAATGATTCTCCACCCGAAGTCACGCAGCACTTCAATACAAAGACATGAGATTGATTCAGACTTATTCTGACCACGACTGTCCCACCTTGAGTTATACACAGATAGATGTGACAGCTGAGCATATCCAAAGCACGCTCTGAGAATGGGCCATGACCCCAGCAGGCTATGTGCTTCTGTGTTTCCCCAAACAAGCACCGGATGAAAACCCAGCATAGACGAGCTTCATGAAGTGGTTAAGGTGGTTATGTTTAACGTTTCAAGACCCTATTGATGTAAATATTGATGTGTTGTGTCAACTTTTCTTGGATCAATACGAGGCTTGTGAAGGTAGCTCGCCCCCCAAATTGAAGCTAAGCCCAGACTGGTTTTCTATATCGAAACTAAGGAATACTCCACAAACAGCGATTGTAAGTTTACGAAACTTCCATGAACGCTACAAGTTTCAGTCACAACTTGAGGGTTCACTGCGATTGCAAGCTTACACAGCGCATGTACGTAGCGATAGATCCATGGCATCATGAGACTAGTAGTAACAAGTGCCACGCTAGTAGTAACAAGCGCCTTACTAGTAGTAACAAGAAGCTATTAGAATTAAAAATAATATTCTATTTATTTTAAACTAATAGCTAACATTGTTACTACTAGTAAGGCACTTGTTACTACTAGCGATGCACTTGTAATTACTAGCAAAGGAATCTACTAGGACCAGGACCTTTTCGCGCACGCGCGCGCGCGCGCGGGGGGGTAGGAAGCTACTAGGTCTTGAACCCCTCAGATCTCCTTGCTACGTTTTCACGTGTGTTCTTCCTTATTCATAGGGTGTCTCTAGATTCCTTCAGAACCAGACTGTTTCGTTCTTCCAAAAGGAAGATCGGCATCTCGATCACCTGAGGTGCCACGCTCACTGCCGTGGGGAACGCTGTGTGCTGTGGACAAAGAGACAGGCCCAAAAGCGACACCGCACGGAGTTGTCTCGTCTTCATGCGAGTTGTGTTCTCGTTCCCGTTGTCGGGAGTGGCATCTTCAAACTGCCCAGACTTCAAAGCAGACTTCGTTGGAGTAGTGAAGTTTACGTCGTCCTGAAAACCAAACCTGGGGGTCGGCAGTTTGTTTTGCCATACGATATGACGTTACTCAATAGCAGTTCGTTAAGGCCCGAACTATTCAGACCAGTGAAAAGCAGCATGTGTCCAGGGCCTGCTTTCAGTTGGACCCATCCCAACGGAAGTGTTGGTCCAATGCTCATTCCAACCCTTGGTGGAAAATGCTACAGAACCGCCGCGCAGTGCAACTGCAACAAATGTTAGTTGATTTGTATCCAAGACCAAATGGAGCCCTGGTATGGGTTGTGCGGGTTCTGCATTCCAACCGTATTATGGTTTAAAACTTGCGTTTGGGGCCATATGTTCCTACGTGTTGAAGTCTTAGATTCAATCGCAGGGTTTTCTAATAGCTTGCTTCTTGTTACTATTAGTAAGGCACCTGTTACTACTAGCGATGCACTTGTTACTAGTAGAAACAAGAAGCCTAAGCTCAAACAGACGAACTACTCCCTGGCCGACGCTGCCGTTGCATACCGGTAGCTACCTGAAATGGGTCACATGCATCTCCATGTTCAAGTACAACCACAACGAACTGCTTGGCGAAGTACATGTTCGAACGCGTTTCGTTCTGCGTGTAGATTCGTTTAGGGAGCTGGGAAAATGTATTTGGGTTCTCTTTGTCCTGCTGCAGGTGGCAGGCTATTGTAAGATGCATGGTGTGACACCGCTCAATGTCAGAAAAGACTGCAAAGATATGCTCAGTGCCTTTTAGTGAAGAAGACAACAAGCAACAAGCCTTGCTGTGCTCCTTCGGACAAGAAACACATGCAGAGTCGTGGGAAAAGAATCACCAAGAGAACCCACATGCATTTTCCCGCAAACGAACAATGCACATGCCCATTCTGCAGGTCTTGTTTGTTTGGTGGTCATGTGCATTCCAGGTGCAGCGTAGTGGGGTGTCTAACTCTGTCATGGGTTGGTTGATCCTTCTTTATGAATTCCCCACGTTCATTCTTTGAAGTTCTTGTCTAAACGTATTTTTGGAGGTACACTGATCCGTTTCTCCTACAAGGACCAAACGCGAAAGGGCAAAGCGCTTTGCCGTAGCTTTCTCAGTTGCAAGAAAGGGCTTTCACAAATCAGAAAGGACAAAGGAATGACCTGAGTTGCATGTGATCTATAATACTGTAGCTTGTGAGCATATGACTCGGGAAAGGATTCCTCGACTTCGACATGCAAGCACAACAAGCACAATTACACATATCAAATATCTTTGGGAATCTGGGCCATTGAGGTCGACGGAGATTACCGCCGGAGGGCAAGAGAAGGTTGAAGCAAGTGAGCAAAGGGCGCAATAGATTGTTCAAAAGCATGGCATTTGCATGTCAAAGCTGATGGAGTTCGAAAAGGAGCTCATCTACACCATGCGTATGGATCAAAAAAGCTGAGGCAATTCTCAAGTTTTGTATCCAACTGTCAGGCATGAAGAGAGTTGTATGTCAGCCATGAAATCTAACAATTGGTTCTTCAGCTAGTGATGAATCCCGATGATTCTGCATGACGCAGCTTAGAAGGAATCAAAATGACAATCTTTTTCTATGAAGGTTCAAGCTCGTTGGCAATCAGAGACTTGATAGTCTTGTGCCAAGCGTCTAAGAAAAACAGAAGAGGAACTCCAGACCAGCCCAAAACAAGGTATGGTTGAAAAGCTGCTACCAGGACGACTGCGAAACCTTGTCGAGGCAAGGCGCCATGAAAATGCCTAACGCTCTTCGGCCCGCTCTTCGGCGCTTTTCCAGCAATGCACAGCATTTGGACCAGGAGTCCGACCTCAGAAGTGGCTGGGGGCGTCCGGACTCATTCCTTTCCCAGCTCACAAAAGACGTGTTAAGCCCTGCGAATGGGGATCAATGTCATGCTTGACTCCGGAACCAAAAGAAATACATAAAATGCAAAGAATATCTCGCTGTCTTGTAAGCCGTGGCCTCTGTTTGTCAGGAAATCCACCATAGAGCTGCGCTGCTGCGCGGAAGCGTGCCTTTGTACCATCAAGGCCGTCCATGACTGTCGAAGGACTTAGGTTCTTCGCTCGTTGGAATGGATTCTTCTCCAACATACTAGGGTGGCCTCCAACCTACTAGCCATGGCCTCCAACCTACTAGCGATGGCCTCCACTGGCGATGGCCAATAGCGATGGCCTCCAACATCTAGCGATGGCCTCCAACCTACTAGCAATCCTCAAAAAGATTTGTAAAGTTGTACTTGTTCATTTAAGTTCTGAAGCATTTTTGACTTGCAAGGCCCAAGGCATCCCATTTCTCCGCCCAACTTGTCCTTGCGCTTCGAGGCCAACTGATGTGTTGGTTGCCCGTAATGGCCTTGCCTTTGGTTTTGATATGAAGTTGAAAGTTGAAGAACACTACTTGAAACTTGTCGTGCTAAGGAAGAAAGGATAAAGAAAGAAAGCAACTGGATGTTCCAAAAACCTAGGAACCAAATGAATAGTGCGAGCGCTTCAAGGAAGCTCTCCCCTGCGGCTTTAGGGCGGCATGGGGAGCTTCCTTGAAGAACGTGAGCTATCCTGCGTCCAGTAGCTAGTAGATTGCTTAGCTCTTACGGGGCAGAACGGCCTACAAATAAAGAAAGAAAAAGTGAGACTTCTTTTTTGCTGCTCCGCTTTGTTCGGCTATGCTCCGCGCACTGCCGCTTTTTGGTAGGTGAGACGCCTTGAAACTGCAAGACACGACTGGGCCTTTGCCACTCAGACCGCAGTTGCTGGTCGTAGCCAGCTCTACTCACGGGCAAAAAGTTGTAAAGGTTGAAACAACGGTTGTTGCCACTCATCAGATAGACTGCTTATGAACTACCGAGGGCTCCCTGCCACTCCTGATTTCCCAACCAAGATTCTGAAACTGATATGCTACAAACAAGGCGTCTAACCAAGCACAGAAACATCACGGAGCTGTGAAGGAGTGTTCTTGCATGTGCTAGTATTTTGAATAGGTTCAAACATGGAGTAGTCAAAGCGATTGGGCCGTCCCCAGATGGACAGAACGGATGTAAAGCTTGATGTATAAACGCGGACCAAAGAAGTGATCAGACTGTGTCTATTTGGTCCAGGTTTTGGACATGTCTCCTGCTCAATAGGGTTTCTCTCAAGACCAAGCCGTTCTGAATCTCATCCCAGCTTCGCTGAGATTTGGACGCATGGCCTAACCAGCTCTGTGGAAAGTGAGGATGAAGGCGAACGGTGCTGAACCGCTGGTGCACACCCCTCGTCTCGCGTGGCCATTGGAATCACCTTAAAGCCTACCAAGCCACGAAAAGGGGATCGAACGCAGTCAAACGACAAAAATGAAAGAAAGACTTGGAATGGTCTAGAGAAAGGAAGGAAAATGCAGTTTGTTGAACCTCAACTAAGCGCCTTTGCATCTCAACTTCTCTCAAAAGCAACCTTCAGAATGGTTGCAAGGCAGGTGCTGAGCGATGCCCTTTGCTACTGGTAGCTTCCGGTTTTTGGCATGTTTTCTTTAAACCTTGGGAAAGTTCCTTTCACGACTGCCCGAACGCCAGGTGGGTGGCCCTTCAGCGGTGTCGCCCACTTGTCGGACTTGCTCCCTGTGGTGCGCTACGATGCTCGGGGCCATGGCCGCTCAGCCGATGCCATAGAGCCCACTTGGCCAGTGCGGGCACCCAGGGCGACGGGAGCTTCCACGAGTGACACGAAATAAAAATACTAGTTAGTTCCTGTTGTTTTTGCTTGCCCGTTTTCTTTTGAATTGTTTGGAGAGACTTAAAGGAACTGTGTTTGGTGGTTCCTTGGTGAACTCTGAATGGATGTTTCATTCGGGAGCTGATGCCGCTGATTCATATGAACATCTGAAATCGGTTAGAATTGGCGGATGAATATCGTGAAGGGTCCAGGCTTTTCTTTTCGTCACTCGAGTCGCGGAAAACTGGTGCCAGGCGATGGGGAGCGACTTGTGCAAGATGCACGAGAAGATGTTCCCTAAGGGCCGCATCATTCTGGGAGGTGGGCGACAGAGCTCGTTGGCCAGAGAAATGTGTTTTTGTTGACAAGCCTTCTTGGCATTGCAAACACCTTGGTATGACTCGTGTTCTTCGGATTGGCGGCTTTATGATCCAAAAATGTGAATGGTTGATCTGCCGAATGGTGCAAAGTCACTACTTTTGGTGTTCTCATTTTCTGGCTAGGCACTTCGATGGGAGCTGCTGCAAGCTTGTATGCTGCACTGGAGGTCGGGTGGCAGGAGCCCCTATAGTAGCTTCTAGCTACTAGTAGCGATGCCAGGAGCCCCTAGTAGCTTCTTGTTCCTAGTAGTAAGGCCAGGAGCCCCTAGTAGCTTCTAAAGTATTTGCTGCAATTGGACACTTTCTTCACTTTTCTGTGCCCGCTTGGCATTGGCCAAAGTCTAGTCAAAGGTACTTCGTGGCTTGAGTTTTTGTTTATGCCCTGTTCCAAATTTAATTTGAGTTGTTCTTGCAATGTGAAGCGACCTTGCTTAGCAAACTATGCAAGCCAAAGCAAAACCCGATGATAAGGGCCATGTGGCATGCCAAAATCACTGTCAAGTAGAATCTTTGGACTATGGTCTCTAGAAGCTCCATTGGACTTCTTGTTCGTGTCCCTTCTCCCTTTCCTCCATGCCCTTGGTTTCACGTCCATTCGGGCCCCCGTCAATCTCTTGCTGCATTCCAGAAGCCAAACGAAGGTGCCCAAACTTCCTTTTTCTCACATGGCACTCGCCTTTTGCGTGGCGGTACACCCACATGTGTTTTTCATCTACGACCACAGCCAATCTAGCTACTGAGATCCTTGGCACGCTTTGTCCATCGACTCGTTGCATGCTCGACGTGCTTCCCAATCAAGTGTTTGGAAGGGCATTCGTTCGGAAGAACAACTGCAGAGGTGCTGCTTCCTGTCTCACTGACAGCGTTGTCCTCATCCAACCACCAGAAGAAGAAACAGACTCATCCAAACATCCAAGCAAAGCGACAAGGTTAGAGGACCGAAAGACGCACCGTCTCAAACAAAACACATCTCGGCTCCAAGCGCGCGCTGCGCGCGGTGCTGGCAACGTGAATCTGTAGCTCTTGGCTGATCGATCGAAGGTCATTTCCCCTCGACCTCGCCGTTTGCATGAGCAAGAAGCTACTAGGAGCAATGGGCATCGCTTCTAGGAGCAGCGGACGCTACCTGGCCGTACTAGGAGCAAGAACGCTACTAGGAGCAAGAAGCCAGAAGCGTCTTTGGTCCAAAAGCTACTCTCCTTCAGTGAGCCCAAAAGGGCCGTGACGGTCCTGTCCTTTCGTGCTCCGTTCGTAGCGATGCCCTTTGCTCCTAGTAGCTTCTTGTTCCGTTCGTAGTAAGGCCAGGAGCGGTAGCTTCCCTGTTGCGTTTTCTTTGTTCAACCATGTCCCAAAACGGAACAAGAACACGCCCCCATCCCGGTCCTGCCGGTTTGGAGCACGAATCGCCATGGAACGTTGCAACGTCCTTGTGTTGATCACATTGTCCGTTTGTTGTCACAAGGCCAGGAGCCCCTAGTGGCGTCCTTGCTCTTAGTACATGAACTGTTGCTGGCATTCTCCCATAGAAACACACGGTGGTAAGAAGCTGGAATGAGTCTTGACCTTCCGAATGATGCTGATTGTCCTTGATTCTTCTGAGGTGTCCAACCAGTTTTGATCGATCTAGACTGCAGGAGTAACTCAGTTGACTCCGCTCATGTGCCTCCAGACTCATAGAAGCTGAGAGTAGACTCTAGATCCAAACTTGATCGCATGGCCCTCCAAGCTTGCGAACCACTTCTGAGTGTCGCAGACACAAAAGCACACGAGCAAAAAAAAAGAAACGCAAACATAGTGCCAAGAAACCTCCGTCAAAAAAGGGCCTAGTAACAAGAAACTGCTAGCAGCACGGGCATCGCTACTAGAGGGCATCGCTACTAGTAGCTCCTGGCATTACTACTAGTAGCAAGAAGCTACTAGGTGGAGGCCATCGCTATTGGAGGCCACTACTAGTAACAAGAAGCTACTAGCGGCTCCTGGCCTTACTACTAGGAGCAAGGACGCTACAAACGGGGCTCCTGGCATCGCTACTAGTAGCTTTCTTACTAGTAACAAGAAGGCTACCAGTAGCTCCTGGTCGAACGACGGGGACTCACCAGACTCACCAGGCACCCGAAAAGGTGGAAGCCTTGGTTTTGGCCACGCCACCCACCGCATGGGAGACGCGTCACTTGGAGCTGTTGGAGCTCTTTTGGTCATGAAAAGGTGAGGGAACCTTGAACGGATGTTTCTTTTGAACACGTTTTCTTGAACGGATGGATCTTTCCGTTGACTTTGTGAGAGAGGTGGGTGAGAGAGTAGGGTTTACTCAACGACGGCAGTGACGGCAGTGAAAAAGTTTCAAGACCTGCGTCATTCTTGGTCACGCTTGACGTCCTGACCACTGATTTGGTTTGGTCAATCACGCAAAGGTGCTCTTTCGGTACCATGTTGATCCTATGCTGCACTAAGAGAAGTAAGAGAAGCATGGCGGTCAAATCACCCAAAGCATAGCGGTAAAAGAACTACTTCTCTTACAAGCATAGTGTAAACTGATTTAGAGGATCCCAGAGGCACCATAAACTCGCAACCAGATCCAGCACGTCTCATTGTCGGATGTGTAAGCATCTCCAAGTCTTCACAAATCGCGGCTGCTCATGGCCATCGAGGTAAGAAGTTTGTGCCACTCTACCAAGAAAGTCTCGCGCTGGCTGAAAAGCAGGGGCTTGAAGCTGCCAAATCCGTGGCCGAGACGAAGGTGCCTGGATTTCGTAAGTTGCACCACTTGTTTCATGGCCTCACCAAGAGAGAGCTTAAGCTTCGAAGTGTTGTTCGATGGCCTTTTTGCTTCCTTTGGTCCCAGGCACGGCCACCCATCTTCTTGGAGACTGAGCGTGGCAGAGTGGCTTGGAACATCTTTTCAGCAACAGTTCAATTCCACATCCTTCTCTCAGGATGGTGGGCAACCAAAAACTAGGAGCAAGAAGCTACTAGGAGCAAAGGGGATCGCTACTAGGAGCAAGGACGCTCCCTGTCACAAGACCCCAAAAAATGTTTGAGATCCGAAAGTTCACGTTTGGTGTTGGAAATTCCTTCCAGAGCGCTTGAGTTCAGACACTAAGAGGTTGGGACACGGAAGTTGGATCCTTGAGGTAAAGACACGGTGAGTCCATTTGAGGCCTCCTTCGACATCGGTTGGCGCCAGAAGTTCTCCATGGGACAACGCCGCTACTGTGCCGCCCTGCGGGGTGCCATCGACTCGGACTTGCCCTCGCCCGAGGCGCTTCGCCGTAGCTGGGTGAAGATCGGACGGGTGCGGAGGCGCTTCTCAAAAAAGTGTCTACTAGGAACAAGTGCCAAGTAGTAACAAAAAGCTATTAGAATTAAATTAAGTTTAAATTAATAGCTTCTTGTTACTACTAGTAACAAGTGCCTTACTAGTAGTAACAAGTGCCTTACTAGTAGTAACAAAAAGCTACTAGTTGATTTAAATTAATTTAATCTAAAAATCAAAATTATACTAAATTAACTACTAGCTTCTTGTTACTACTAGTAAGGCACTTGTTACTACTAGTAAGGCACTTGCTCCTAGTAGCGATGCACTTGTTTCTACTAGCGTTGGAAAGAACGAGAAATGACCTACAGTGAAATGACTTCATCATCTTTTCTTCAAGACTCCAGACTGCACTTGATAGCATGCGGACTTGCTAGAGACAATCAATGGTCAACCGACGGGCAAGAAGCATTGGGTATGGTGTGACTCAAGTTGAAGATCAACTATTCGACGGATGTAAGATGCTGCAACCGGCAAGCTAATCTTAGGTGAAATCTTTCATGTTTTCACTCAGTTCCAATCAAATGCTTTGAACCTCTACCGGCGCACACGCGCGTCGTCCGCGTCGGCCACTTCACACGCAGTTCATGCGACCAGATGAGGGAGTCCACTCCAACCTAGCAGCATTCTTTGCTCCTAGCAGCGATGCCCTTTGCTCCTAGTAGCGTTCTTTGCTCCTAGTAGTAAGGCCAGGAGCCCCTAGTAGCGGCCTTGCCCACTCGCGCATTTACTCAGCTGTAATTGTTGAGATCGATTGTTTCGGCTTTGTGCCGATTGCGACATGCAACCTCTCTCAGGATGTGTTTTCAGGGTTTTTTTTCCTGGACTCGATGTTCCTTTGAATGCCATGAGTAGTTTGTTCACTTCGTTCCAGCTCGATCAGCAAGCTTTGAGGACTTAATATTCCGGTGCTGATCTTGGCTTGGAAATCTGATGCGCAACATCCGCTCGAAAGTGCTCTCATGCTGCAAGAATCTTAGCTGCATCCCGCAGAGGCTTGGGAAATTCGTCGGAACAAGTGGGCTTCAAAGGGTAAATTCTCATTTGGACTGAGAACAGCACTCTTTTGGAGATCAGTCTTACCAAAAGCACTCCTCTTTTTCGATGGAATGGGTCCAGTTCTCCTTTCTCAGACCGCCGAGCTGGACTCAGGAGATCCTTCCACAGGCAGAGCTCTGTGTAGCAGACTCCTGGGAGGAGATCGAGAGGTTTCCAGAGCAGATCCGAGGCTTTTTGCTTAATCTGCTCTGAGCAAGAAAAGACGGAAAAGAGCAAATTGCATTTGCTTAGCTTTGCGCTGTTGGGAAATGTCTCAAGGTTGGAGTTGCTTTGCTGTGCTTTGATGTATTGCTGTGGCTCAAAAGACGCTTCTGACGCTTCTGCCATGACTCGTGATGAGCCGTGTCCCGGTGCCGCCCGGCTCGCCGCGGCCACGCTCGGCCCCGCGGCGTTTCCGGCCCCGGAAGCCCGACGGCTACGGCTACGAGAAGTTCGAGAAGCCCGACAAGCCCACGACGCACACGCCGCGCTCCTCTCGAAGCCGTGGTAAAGAGAATGACCATCGGGAGGAGACGGAGAAAGAGAATGTCCTGGGGCCCTTGATGAAAGCAATTGCAGGGCTTTGTCAACACCGAGACCGTGGCACCGAATTGTGGTTTCGCTTGTTGGAACCTTTGCGACGTTTGGTGCTGTGCGAGGAGGTGAAGATTGTGGTGCGCTGCCTGGGACCACTTCCTCCAGACCCACTGCTGCCCTTCAACCATGACGTTGAGGCAACAAAGAAGTGTAGAAAGGCTTCTTGTGTAGAAAGCTCCGTTCGTAGCGATGCCCATTGCTCCTAGTAACTAGTAGCGTCCTCAAAATAGATCCAGAACAATCGTCGTAACTTCCCTTCAAGGCACGGCGGCGTGTGTGTCCAGTGACCTTCGTGGAGACCTGGCCAGCACAGCGGATCGAGGGCTACGCAGCCTTGACACAGCCGCAAAGCATCCAGGCGAGACGAAGAAGAGAGAAGCATAGCCCGTTTTGGGCGGAAGCGAGAGAGAGAGAGAGAGAGAGATTTAGGGCGTTTTGGGATAGTGACGTAGTTGTTAGGGTTCAGCTGCTGAGGAGTAAGAGGTAGCTTAGCTACTACGTGCGATGATGCAGACTTGTCACTGGACTGCAGAGGCACCACATCCTTCTCGATAGTTTTTGCACACGTTGAGTACCTTTTAAGACGATTAAATGGCGAGGGCTTGTGAAAGCTGTGGAAGCTCCCCAGGCACAGCTGTTCCACACACTGGAAAGCGAGTTTGGGAAAACATTTACAAAGCATGTGCACCGGGCACACCAGTCTCTTTCTGCATTTGTTCGCACAGGTGATGCCTTCACCATTAGCTGCTCGACACAACTGGGATCGCTATGAGGCACGCGCTTGATTCAAATGCATCTGAGCTTCAGTGAAAGAATCTCTTTCTGCAGATGGTGCAGCCTCACTGTACATCAGCGCTTTGCTGCAAAGAAGCTTGTCTCGACGGATGTAGATATTGCTTGCAGATGTCGTTCAAACCTTCCAAGACCTGGTTCATGTTCTTTCCGACTTGCAGCAAGGTGAGCTAAGAAAGTGTGAGGTTTGGAATAATTCTTTTTTGCAGCAAACCGGTTCTTTCACAAGACATGTTGTTTAAGTCTAGAGTGCCTTGTTTTTCGAAGTGCTGTTTTTTATTTTTTCGATATGGCGTAACACATTCCTTTTGGGCCTATGACACGTCTCACAAGGCCAGCGAAGGCCTCCGATGCCTGGCTGCTGTGCCACTCCTGGACGCCGGGGGCAACGTTTTGGCCGTGGTGGCTCAACGGAGAGATGGGAAGAAATGAAACATGTTTCTCTTTTTTTTGGGGGGGGGGTAGGCCGTGGAGGTAGTAGCTAGAGGTAGCAAGCAGGGAGAGGTAGCTAGTAGCTTACTTAAGCTACTAGTATCGACGCAGGATAGCTCACACTTCTATTCATTTGGTTCCCAGATTTTTGGGAAACTTAACTAGTAGCAATGGCCTCCAACCCAAGGGTCTTTTTGCTCAAAAATATACTTGTCTTCTCCTGTCTTCTTTTCGCTCTTTAGTAACCTTTAGACCTTGTTTTCCTATGTCAGTCCTTGTTCTTTCTTTTACTGCTTTCGCCTTCTCCGCCCCGTCATCCAAAGTCTCATCCTTGGTGCACGTAAGTCTATTTTGTACCTGTAGAGAAGCGGTGACGTCCCTTTGCTACTAGTAGCTTCTTGTTCCTAGTAGTAAGGCCAGGAGCTTCTAGTAGCGTCCTTGCTCCTAGTAGCGATCCCTTTGTTCAGAAAAAGTTGTGTTCAATATGTTTTCTGAGCTTCTATGCTTGTGTTTAGGCTAAGTTCTTCAATCGCCGAAAATGGGCGGATGGTCAATGGCATCCATGCTTCAAGTGCTTTGGTTCAAGTTGCATTCTTGGAAGCAAAGAAAGCAAGAAATGGGATGAAGTAAAGCCGCTCCGAACTGTACCTATTCCCAAAAGACTTTAAGGAACCTAATAGCGATGACCTCCAACCTAGTAGCAATGGCCTCCAACCTAGTAGCGATGGTCTCTTGGAATGAAGCGTTGTGCAGACGCGTCCTCTGCGCGTCCTCCGTCTTCTTCTATCTTGGAGCTCAGAGGTTTTCGGAAGCAGATCTGAATGCGCTCCGCGCCTTCGCGGCGATTTTCGCTTGTGCTTCTTGGTTGAAGGCTGAAATGGTTGCAAAATCCTTGTAAACAGGAAGAGTGCAAAATGAAATACTAGGAGCAACGATGCTACTAGGGGCTCCTGGCATCGCTACTAGGGGCTCCTGGCCTTACTACTAGGAGCAAGGACGCTACTCCTGCCATGAAGGAGATGACACCGAAGGCAACATCGGCGACCGATGGTCTGAGGTCGCACCATATCCCTTCCTGGCATTGCTGGCTGCTCCCTTGGAAAAACCACAGGCGATGAGCGATTCTTGTGAGCAAAGGAGACTGCTCAAAATGCTCAAGTCGTTCCTTCTCAACACAAGCAGAGCATTAGAGGGGAAGAAGTTTGGAAGAAGATAGAAGACTCGACAGGTGAAGGTCTTCATCGATGACTATGGCATTCACGCTCAGCTGTGGTGGCAAGTGTCGATGTCTTAGCTTGATCGAGCAGTGCTTCACAAGTTCAGTGCTTCAGCAAAGAACAGGCCTATTGTTATTAGGTTGGAGGCCATCGCAATTAGGTTCCTTTTCCTAGTGCCATCGCTTCTGCTTTGTGAGGCCCTATGAGTTGGGACGTGGACCATTGAGCCACGAGGCGTGTTTACATGAGTTTTCTATTCTTTTCTGACGTGACATGCAAAAGAAACATCCGTCGCTGCTTTGCTTCTGCACTATTGTTATTCCCTCTGGATCACCTTCATATTCCTTTGGTGAGGTCTTCTACGGACCTGTGGAGCACGATGAATTTGAATGCTGCACATCTGACGCTGAGGTGCATGGAACTTGATAGTAACAAGAAGCTACTAGGGACAAGTGCCTTACTACTAGTAACAAGTGCATCGCTTCTAGTAACAAGTGCCTTACTAGTAGTAACAAGAAGCTACTAGTAGTGCCTTGCTAAGGTGCATGGAACTTAGATTGACATTTGTCGCAAGTTGATACGTTCGAAGGCAAAGACCCTGTGGCGACATGTGTCTTGCGGCTTCCTCTCGCCCCTCGAGGCTCGTTCGAGAAATGGTTAGCACGAGTATGTCACAGCGAACCTTTGCTTTTAGGAAGTTTTGCATGACGCTTTCAAGGACCTGGAGGATGAAGATTTAACTTTCGAATTCTCTGCACAGTTCTCGGACTTTCGACTCTTCTGCTTGTTGGATTAGTGAGAGCTCTGAGGTGCCCATTCAGAATCAAGGTGTTGATCATACCTTCCGTGTGAGGTGCAGGAGAACGAGCTTCCGACCAACTTCAATTAAATCTGTAGATAAGTCATTACCTAGTAACAAGGACGCTATTAGGTGGAGGCCATCGCAAGTAGGTTGGAGGCCATTACTACTACCAACAAGAAGCTACTAGTTACCTGTTGTGATGTTTTTGCATTCTTTTCGCTTTGCAGGAACCAGCACACGTCGCTGGATTGGTCGGAACCTTCTTTGCAAGTGTCTACTTGCATAGAGCCCCCCTATGCGGAGCACAAGGTCGGTGATTCAAAAAGGGGCCGGCTCGTTTTTTCTTGCATGCGCGGGGGGGCCGCTAGAGGTAGTAGCTAGTAGAAGCTAGGTAGCTACTAACTACTGGACGCGGGATAGCTCACGCTTCTTCAAGGAAAGGCGGCGGGGGAAGCTTCCTTGAAGAAGTGCTCGCACTAATGATTTGGTTCCTAGATTTATCGGGAAACTTCAGTCTTTTTCTTTGTTTTCTCTTTTCATTGGGGAATTTGCCTTGTGGAGGCGGTTCGGATGATTCCTATGGGCGAGAACACTTTGCAGCAGTCGCCTTGGACTTTCAGCATTCAATGAGCTTTAACGATGAAACCCAGGGCACCTGCATCACTCTTTGCCTCTTTCTCCGAGAACGGAAGAGTTAAGATTTCTTGGAACGGCTTCAAGGCTTCTTTGGACTCCATTCACTCGAAGTGGAGGCATCAGCTTGGTGGAGTACCGGGTTCTCGCACAGGCTGAGCGCAGTTTGAATGTTTTGCGGGCGTCCACACAGCGACCTTTGAGGCGGAGTCCAGCGAATCAGTGGTTGCTTGCTTCGTCTCGAACGGCACAACCGCCCAAGAGGAAGTGACAGCCACGTGGTGCAAAATGATGCAATGCAAGAACGCTACTAGGAGCAAAGGGCATCGCTACTAGGAACAAGTAGCTACTAGGGGCTCCTGGAATCGCTACTAGGAGCATTCTTACTACTAGTAACAAGAAGCTACTAGGGGCTCCTGGCCTTACTACTAGGAGCCCCTAGTAGCTTCTTGTTACTAGTTAGTGTTGATTGAATTCCATGTTGTCATGAAGCTTTCTTGATTAAACTTCCGTGCTTTGAAACAGTCTGTCAGGTGTCCTGCTTGCCCAACGTGAGCTGCTCAGTGCTCTTATGTGTCGGAGCTGCTCAGTCATCTTTCTTTCAGGTCTCGTACACCTTTGCCATCGAAGCACGTTATCCTTTCATTGGCTCTCGAGCCGGTGACCTAGCAACATGCAAGGCCTGCAATCCACCTCAATGAGAGCCAAATTGGTTGCTGGTCATTTCTCAAAGAAAGCTACTAGGAGCAAGGCGCCTTACTA